CAGCTTCAACATCGTACAGTTACACTAAGAGTTCAAGAATCTACGTCGCCGTTTTGACTACTTTGAAGCAAAACTTCATGTTAACCCAGTGCTTCATTTTGCGTTCCAAATGCAATAATACGAGTGCTCACAATGACTCCGTTAACTGCAGCGTGCACCACTGCTTTACATCGGTGATTTGCACAATAGGGGGCCTGCTGATATATATCTCAATGCGAACGCGCGGGCCACTAATCCTAACCAACGCGGTTTGTAACAAATGGGACCATTCACAGAGAGCTACACACGCATCTCGTAGATGCTTTCATTAATATCAGCCTTCCCTACTTCTAGACCTTGATGTGCATATAGAATCCTATGAAGAAAGGCAGATTGTATTTTCATCCTTTCACTTGATCACTGATATATTCACTCCTTAGGCAATCATTCTGCAGAGTGCTTGTTCCAAAGTGCGTTAGTTACTTCCGGCGTGGCGGAGCTGTACGCTACCGGACGCCTCTACAGGTTGCAGATTGCGAAATACCTTCTTGTGGAGGTAACCGCGAATAAGTCTCGTCTAGTTTACAGGTGAGTTGAATAAGCAGTAGCGGACAATCAGCGACAGCGACTTAGAGCGTGGGGAGATCTAGACTCCACCTGATTCTCCGTCAAATACTAACAGTTCGTACGGTGCTGTGTCAAAGCCAACGTGGCTGGCTATACGGTCACTGACTACTCACTTCCGTACCCAAAGGCGAGTACCTAACAGAGGGCGGATGAACAAACTTGGTGGCCACCGACTTCTGTGTGGACTGACAAAGAACACAAAGAAGGCGAATGAGCAACCTGGCTGTCAACGGTCTTCTTAGTCAGAAATCTGCGTGAATTGCGCCGCTGCCTTGCGTGACCCCATGCGGAGGCCGATGTTGCATTCAAAATGCTTCCTCAAAGCAATGGGGCTAAACCAACTTACACCTAAACTAGGTCTTTTTAACCTGTATAAATGTCATTCAACTTGATTTGGTTTGTCCGGTCTACCTGAATATTCTTCTATTAACTGGCCACGTTGCTTACCCTAACTGTGGTTATCTTCGTTAACTTTATTGCGGTAGTAGCACTTATTGTATAACTTGTGGACATTTTGCAATCATCGCGGATTCGTTGCCAACCAACTTACTTTATATGTTAATTTAGCAAAGAGTTATGTCGGCACGGCTATATGCTTTAACAGATATATTTCAGTCGATAATGATTGGCTGTTGTTAAACATCCCCGGTGTGGCTGTGCCTGATGTGCATGTTGACAAGGTGCCTACCTGTCTATTACCCACTACCTCGTCCATACTGACTCCAGGAGACAGTTTGTCGTTGCTGGAGGGGAAGGGGTGCACGATCCTTGTGGACGTGCTAGTCTCAGAGCGGTTCCATGCACTCAATGTGGAGCGGACTACGGTCCAGTCACCGCCTTGTGGGTGCTTGATTCCACAAATACAGCGCGCTTGTGTTTGCCTGTGAAGGAGTGTGGGCCGGCTCCGTTGATGAAACGTGGCTCCCATCCACATGCCTCCCGGTCTTATTGCTTCGGGTTTACACTGGTTATGGGGTGTGGTTGGAGCTGTGCGTGGTGCAGCACAAGCTACATAGTGTTGGCGGCATCCGGTTTCGGATTTGCCTGTCACTGTGGCTATCCACAGGACGTATGTGCCTACAGAGGGATCATGGGTGGATTGCGCTGCACCACCAACACACCCCATATCCAGTGTAAACCCGAAGCAATAAGACCGGGAGGCATGCGGATGGGAGCCACGTTTCATCAACGGAGCCGGCCCACACTCATTCACAGACAAACACAAGCACGCTGTATTTGGGGAATCAAGTGCACACAAGGCGGTGGCTGGACCCTTGTCCGCTCCACACTGAGTGCATGGAACCGCTCTTCGAGCCTAGCACGACCACAAGGACTGTGCATCCCGTCCCCTCCAGCAACGACAAACTGTCTCCTGGAGCCAGTATGGACGAGGTAGTGGGTAATGGACATGTAGGCACCTTGTCAACATGCACATCAAACGCAGCCACACCGGGGATAGCAGGCAACAGCCAATCACTTGAGACAATAAGATAAAATAAATCCAATAATGCATAGATCCGGTGACATAAATCTTCGCTAAATTAGCATATGAAGTAAGTTGGTTAGCAACGAATCTGCGATAAGTAAAAGACGTGCACAAGTTACTTAGAAATGCTGCAAACGCAACAAAGTTATCGAAGATAAGCGCAATTAGCGTGAGCAACGTGGTCAGTTAATAGAAGATTATTCAGGTAGGCACAACAAACCAAATAAAGTGGAATGAAATTTATCTAGCTCAGAAAGACCTAGTTTAAGTGTAAGTAGGTTTAGCCCAACTGCGGTGAAGAAGCATCAAGAATGCAACAGCAGCCTCAGCATGGGGCCCACAAGCAAGCAATATATATATATATATATATATATATATATATATATATATATATATATATATATATATATATATATTAACGGAATTTCTAAATATTAACGCGCACGCTGACGGACCGGACCAATTCCAGTAATGTAGCCTCTCAAAGATGCTGTGTCAGCTAGCATGCATACTTTCGTACTCTTCTTACTCTCAGTACACCACGGGACATATCACCATAGACTTGCGACACATATCTCCGTCTATGACTAGTTAGAACTGATAAAACCAACATCACAGAGATAATCTACAGTTGCATTGTGATCAACCGTTTTGTTTCTACAAGGTACTCCTTCACTGAAATTCTAGTGCAATTCTTGCTGAAACATCTTCGATTACGCTTTGGTGATTGGTGTCATACATATACTAATAACGCTGGAACACTGACCCTTCTACATGAAGAGAACACATTAACTTAATTCAAAGCTGAATTTATAGAGCACACTGTGTGGTTGGATTGTGACTCGCAACCTGTATTGAGACCTCGGTTCACTTTGAGGTAAACCTCGGTCATTCCGATCTCAAGGGCCGTATCCTGAATGTAAACATTTGGGTGTTGCTCTTCCCAATACTAGCACACCACGACCGCAGTTTCGTCCAGGTTTGGACTCGTCAGATGAAGATAGACAGATAACACATCAATGATTCTGACCAAAACCCACTCCGTTTTTAAAGCAATTCGCGTTCTAATTAGCTGCCTTCTACTTCGCCGCAGTGACAGACCATACCGCAAGCCCCACTGAATAATTCTGGATTGTATCGCACACAAATTTCGCTGTGACGAACATTGTGATGAAAACAAAAGCACCCGATCATTGAAACCAGCCGAATATCCAGCCTCCTGGGTGCATAAATCTTTCTTGAATTGAAACCAGATGCAAACCACTGTGACACGTTTGCATGAAAAGTGATCTACCGATTTGATGCTATCCGTGGAAAAAGCAATCGCATCCAAATTAACGTAATCAATTTACGACGTATGGATGGGTTGGACGTGCAGATTCAATTCGTCGTCGCCGACTTTGACCTCCCACCAGAGGAAATCAATCCGGTACATTAGCATATAAGCGTCAGGAAGATTTTTAATCACAACAGCATTCATTCATAGTTTTTGACCTGAAAATTTGCACACTGTCACAAGAATTTTCAAGTGTCAGTGGCACATGTAAACTGCGGATTTGCAGTTTGTGTGCGCGTTACCGATCAAAAAGTGGTCAATGCAATGCATTTCGCACAACCGACTGAATACATCAAATGAGGTGTCTCATCAAATAGAGACTATGAACAAGCAACTCTCCTAGCTGGTTTTTTGGCACAATTTGATCGGACAAACAACATAGACTCTGTGAGACAATGTCGAGAAGCAAACTATTTATTTAGCCAGTTAGACGCGCTGATTGATCCGGTACATAATAATGATGTTATCAGATCCAATCCGAAATAAAGCTCTTGCTTTGAAAGAAATCATACCCGTACTGTAAGTGCGCTACCAAATAACGAGAGGTATTACCTATCAAAGTAAGACATCAGCACATTGCACAGCAGGTAGGTGATCATGGATGGTTGGATTAGATATGGGCTACCACCAGAATTACCAAGTATGGACAGAAGGTCTAGAGGTGTAAACAAAGATACTGGGCCCCAAGGCATGATAAAAGGTATCGAGAAATTGGCAGTGCTTCACAAGATGGAACACATTCACAGAAACAGGTGCCAACCAAACTGGGGAACTCGTGACACACGGTTAATATGAAGCAAAACCACTGATGTGTAGTGCATTATGTTTGGTTCTCTAGGTGTGGAAAAGCAACACTCAGCAAAGGCGCTGTGGAGCTCAGACTGTCGACATCACGCGCCCGGAGTGGTCTTATACCTCACCAACATGACCACAAAGGGCATATATTGAGGCAATGGGTAAATTTAATTGGTGTTAACGCAGTGTAACTACGCTGCTTCCGCTTCCAGATGTGGTACAAGTGTTGAATCATCGCCCAAGACAGGTGCCTGTTTGTATTGTCACATCTGTGATAGCTAATATCCGTATATATACTCAGCGCCTAATTGGGGTTGATGCGGATGCTGGTAAGGTGCCCAAGACCAGGTTGTTGGGGAAGACGGGGTCCACAGACTTCGTGACAGCGCCGGGCTCAAAGAGTGATTCCGTCCAGCGTGGAATGGGTTAATGAGAAGACATTAATTACTCTGTGTATGTCTGGTAGGCATATATACCCCTGTTCGAATGAATGATGTGCATGTAAGGGTGAGCCAAGTTGGAAGCAATTGTACCTACCATTTACATCCCTCTGTCATGTTCCTTCGAGTTTAAAATGGATATGGGGTTTGTGGATGGTGCATCGCAAGTCACACATGTTCCCTCAATAGGCACAGCCGTCCTATGGCTCTACGAAGCTTAATTCACAGGTATATATATATATATATATAATGATCAACACAAGCTACAACAGTATAGTAGATTGTGCCATATTGCTCAAAATGCAATAAAGTAACTAAAACTAGCACATCAAATCAGGATGTATATTCCGTTAATTGGGAGAGAGTGACCAGCGAAAAGGGATAAAGGAATAACACTACTTCGGTAGATGGTCGTTAATTCCGGAAGTTGGGATCTAGTTTGAGGATTCAACCTCCGCAGCTTAACCGATAACACAGCGAGCAAAACGTTAGTTTGCTGAGTGGGGGATGAACTCGAAAGATTGGCTTAATATTCGGATTTGTAATGTGATTCGAGAAGCCGGTGCACCGTGAGAGAAAACCATAGCTAGTAGGATGAAGTGCGAGCTAATCACAACCTTTGTACTATCTGAGTTCAATCCAAGAGGACAGTCGTATGGTACGCGAAAAGGACGAAACCGGTGGCAAACAGCCGAAAGTGAACAGATAATTAAATGGGAAACGGTGTGAAGACTACACAACGCACCTAGAAAGTCAAGATCAAGTGAAGGCATGTCGAGATATGTGAACGCTCTATAGGTGTTGCTTCAAAAGCGCTCAAATGCACGGTCTTGACCGGTCGGACCTGAAGGGTAAAAGGAACGCGACTTTTAGTAATACCGTGAAGAGAAGTAAGTTTACAGATAAACCGGTCGGAAAGTGTCCGAAAAAAATAAGCTACAGAGTACCTGAAAAGACAGATGAGCGGCTAATTTCTCTGAAAACACGAAACAGTGGGAAAAATCGCAAGATGGATATAGTAGGCAACGTTGTCAAGAGCAATTAAAGTTGTAGGAAAAATGTGCGGGGATCCTCGACAAATTCCTTTATTTTCTTCAAAAACGTGACAGCTTCGCGCCCGTCAATCAAGCGATGATCATAGCTCAATGCAACATACATCATGGGACGAATAACCACTTGACCACTTCGCGCAACAGGTCGGTCGAAAACTCCATACAAGCCAAGAATGGCCGACTGGGGAGGGTTGATAATCGGAGTGCCGAACAAAGAGCCATAAACACCACCATTACTGATGGTAAAGGTACCACCATCCATGTCTTCGACAGCCAACGTGCCGTCTCTCGCTCTTTTCCCCAGATCCACGATCTCGCGCTCGATATCAAAATAGTTCATTTTGTCCACATTACGCAAGACAGGTACAACCAGACCCTTCGGAGTGGCGACTGCAATGCTAATATCAATATAATCCCGGTAGATGATATCAGTTCCGTCAATCACAGCGTTGACCGCAGGCTGATCTTTAAGGGCGACTGTGCAGGCTTTGGCAAACGTGGACATGATGCCCAATTTAACCCCGTGCTTTTTGAGAAATACTTCTTTATATGTATTACGCAAATCAATCAGGTTGGACATGTCCACTTCGTTGAAGGTTGTTAGCATGGCGCAAGTGTTCTGCGCATCCTTCAAGCGCTGCGCGATACGAATACGCATTCGGCTCATCTTGACCCTTTGCTCAGCACGTGACCCAGCGAGTGAGCCGAGGTCTTCCGCAATAGACGGATGGGCGGCCGATGGCGCTGGAGCAACTGGTTTCTGTGCTGGTTCAGGCGTCCGAGAGGGTGTAGTTTGAGATGGCAGTTCCAAGGGCTTTGGTGATGGTTTAGGAGTGGAGTCAACTGGGGGAGCATGCGGAGTGGGTCCAGTAGCAACATCAGCCGCGGGAGGAGGAGGAGGAGCGGATGGAGAGCTTTCATCTATTTTGAAAATTTGCTGCCCAGGCACAACCCTACTGCCATCATCTACCAGCAGCTCTGATATGACTCCAGAGCAAGGTGCAGGAACAGGAACATTGGTTTTATCCGTTTCGATCTCAGCGATGACATCGTCCTCATTCACATGATCCCCGATGGACTTTTTCCAGACGATATCTCCTTCAGTAACAGACTCAGCGAAAGGAGGCACAGAAACAACTCGGACATCTTGTAGAGCACAGCTCAATAGAAAGTGCCGACAGAATGAGAAACTGAAATGGTAGAGCAGATTAAACGACAGTTGATGGAGGAACGAAAAACAAAACACACGGTACATAACAAAGATGCCACAAAAAGGAGCAATGTGGAATTGCGAAAAGAACACACAATTTCGGTGGAAAAGTCAGAAGAGGTTGACTAGTCCGGTTCGTTAACCCATGAGGGCTTTGTTTTGCTGTTCCTATATAAGATATCCCACCGCATTCCACAAGTTCGCTCTGCCAAGCTCCAGGGTAGCACCTGATCAATACAGGTACGTACGGTGGACCATATCCATAGTGTTGGCACAGTGGACAAAAATCCAACGACTCATAGAAATGCCAATAAAAAACAGCCAAATTGCAAAACAAGTGATACAGCGCGGTTAGCGATTGCATAAGTCATCTAGACAGTTAAGTGAGCGAAAGCAAACAACATGGAAGGGTTGTTGACACGAATGGAACTCCGACTTAGAGACTATTAGGTAACTTCGTTTCTGTAGGAGCAATGAGAACGCATAGTGAAGACGGAATGTTGGATGCATTGGTGTGGGAGCATGAGATAACGAAAGTGTAGTATTGTAAAACGGAGATACTTTGGTCCACCTTTTGTTTAGAATGTACCACACATCTATCAGTGCATTTGATAACATTATTAAGTGGTATATTCATTGGGTATAGTATTATAATGCTGTAGGAAATATTGAAGGAAGCAGATCTGCATCTTTAAGTCATTTCTTTTAAATAAATGCTATGGCCAAAGTTATCCCTTAACGGGGAGAGTTTGATCATGAAGACAAAATAAACGTAGAGCCAAAGGTACACAACATAAAGGTAAGATTGGTCACTGTTTATAGGTAAAAAATTACAAACACGTGTAACATTGTTAAATACTTAAGCAAACTGACCAGATTTTTTGAGTTCGACAGGCCTTCTTTGATGGTAATAATAATAAAAATAATGTGTCAGCTGTACGCCGTAACGGCGCTTCGCTGCCGCGCAACCACCACCAGTCGCGCGCGGGCTGAGTATACCGCGAGGACGCCCACCCCTACGCGGATTCGAACCGGTGACCTTATAGTTGCAAAGCAAACGTGCAGACCACTCGGCCACCGGCCGACTTTGATGGTGGGACACACTCATTATCCGAATAAGTGGAGGCGATTTCTAATCGGTTGTCAATTACATTGCTAACGGAGGACAAGCAATCAGCTACTCTTAAATAAACTTTGGCTGCCCAGTCAGTTTCTGGTTCAGCACAAGGCCCGGTTCTGGTAACAACCTCCTCGGTTGAACCTGCCACATTTCTTAGGCTAGATGTTCAGAACCGTTCTTGCGTTATCATAAATTTTATTCACCAGTCGCAAAGCGCATTTGTTTCAGTTGTTGCTTGAAAACCTCGGAAACGGATGTGCAGGTGGTATCTGCATCTCCATTTTCCTCTGGAATTCCGCTCAGGACAGACTGAGGATTTATTAGGTAAATGTCAAGCTTTCTGCAATATCTTCGCCCATGATATCTAGTTGTTTGAGCAGCGACAGAAATCTGTCCTTCTGGATGGTTTGGGCCTTTCTGACACGGGAGTTTTATATTTTGTCAGGATGGCCCTCCATTGGGACTTCCTAGGTCGAAAGAATAGCATAGAGGCTGGCAAGAGTTGGTTGAGTTAGGTGAGAGGAAACAAAAAGTAATATTGTTTTTATTGCAGAGTCCGAGAAAGTCAAGATCAAAGTGTGAACTGAGATTGTCCCCCAATAGGACACAACGGCCAGGTTTTCCGCAACAGAATGGTAATGGCACTCGCTGAAACCAGCCTAAAAGGCAGATATTGTCAAACCAGCCCACCTTGACCCGTTACATCGTGTGCCTGGTGAACCATTCTCCGTCCAAGTGTCCCAAACCTTTTCGACTTTGTACAATACATATGACGGCCGTAACTCTCCATCAGCGGTGTCGGTAAACATCAGGCTAATTGCTGACTTTGACGGGTTCATAATTCCCTCGTGATATTTGGTGCTTCTTATTTGGCCAACTGGCCAAAGTTACAACAAAATAACAAAGCGTGTTGGAGCAATAATGTCTACCAAGACAGTAACATAACGCATGAAAAGGTGTTTTGATAAGATCAAATATGTTTACCATTATTTATTCACGAAGGGAAAAAATGGTTCTATTGACAATGTCTCAGAAACTTGATTAACAGCTGAAAGTATACCGTATGTCAAGCACATGCAATGGCATCGACCATCTTTGACAAGAAGTATATTCGAGACTGAAAATTCCAGTTCAGCAGGAAATCATTGTCATCATTAAAAATTAGCTGAAGGTGAGAAAAACACTTTAACAATTGGGCCGCAATGGATAAAGATATAAGAAAAAAGCAAGATACTGAAAATTATAGAATGCTAAAAAACAGTGGACTACTTAGCAGCATAGTATGCGTCAACATGGTCATCATCATCATCATCATACACGTTAGCTAGAGGTGGGGGAACACCTCAGCTACTGTGCCGCAATACACAACATGGTGATCGTGGTTGGAGAGGGAAGATAAGCGGGATGGAGGAACTAAAAAACCCACAACACAAACGCCATTGGGGTCGGCTCCTTGCCATGTCAATTAGTGCTTCCAAGCAAACGTGTCTATCGTCCTTCGGATCCCAGCCAAGCAGTCGGTACACACCAACCGAAACCAACTTCATTCCTCTTGACCAAATCATCGCTTGGCTACCCCTCCTATTCTTCCATGAACATCCGCAGCGCGAAAAAACAACACAGGTCACGGGAGTCGATGTGCTGGCATGTGCAACACGTGGCCCAACCATCGTAGTCTGATGCGCAATATATGGTGCTGAGCGGTTCACACTACCTTCCTGCACCAACTGAACGACGCCGTGCACGCTCATTACTCCCGCGATGCTCGCATAAAATGTCAAATCAATGAAAAATGGATTTAACTAAAACCAATTTTACCACACACAAAATAATAAAAGTGTAAGCTAAGTTCTATAATTTATTTCATGTTGGCTCCAAGTTACTCCCAGAGGCCAAATTTATCCCATCTTATGGTATATGTGATAAGCAGAGCCAAATAAAGTTAAGTGTATCGTCACGAGGATGAAATATGCAAATGGTGCGTCCAAACGATGAAGTACACCGAACACTTCACGACTGCATAACGCTGAACGGAATACAGTGGCGATAGGAAAGGGGTGCACACGCCGGCTGACAAAATGACGGTAGAGCAATTGACGTGCAGGCGTAAAAACGCTAGAAGATAGAGTACTTAGTAGCTTCCAGAATAAAGGGGGCAAACATAGGACGATAGACCAAGTTCGGGTAAAAGACCAGTGCAAAGAAGTCACCAGTGGTGCTAAATGTATTTGGGTACTACGGTCGGCTCCAACCCAAAGCAAAACACTGATTCATATGTATGGAGCAAGTATCGCCAGAGAACTCGCGTAGTGAAATTAATCACGTTAATTTTGCTGATTCGTCCTAGCTCACAAGCTAGACAGCCTGAGTATTAATCCGTAAAAGCACCAGAAGGCAGTCTCACTCTGCTGAGGCTCGACAGTGGCGCGCATCCACCACGGCAGGAACCCAACCCATAACCTATAGTAGCTTGCGTCATCAGCTAGCAGCTCGAGATTGAATAAAAAAAGAACATAATCGCTGCTTCTGACATCTGTACCCTTTTTTAGTTTTGTTCCTCATGGCTTTGCAATGGCTTGATGTTTATTTATGGGCTGGTACATGGATGGCGGCACCCGGTTCCAGATTTGACTGTCACTGTGGCCAGACACAGGACGCCTGTGCATACAGAGGGACCATGGGTGGCTTACGCTGCACCACTCACAGTTCCAACCACACACACCATATCCAGTGTAAACCCGAAGGAATAAGACCGGGAGGCATGCGGATGGGAGCCACGTTTCATCAACGGAGCCGGCCCACACTCCTTCACAGGCAAACACAAGCACGCTGTCTTTGGGAATCAAACACACACAAGGTGGTGGCGGGACGGTAGTCTGCTCCACACACAAACTGTGTGCATTGGACCACTGTTCGAGCCTAGCACGGCCACGAGAACCGTGCGCCCCTTCCCCTCCAGCAACGACCAACTGTCTCCTAGAGCCAGTATAGAAGTGGTGGTGGACACAAGGCAAGTAGGCACCTTGCGAACATGCACATCAAGCGCAGCCACACCGGGGATATCAAGCAGCAGTCAATCACATGAAATGTAACAACCAATAAAACAGGTTGAAAACACCATACGGATATGCCACTAAGTAAGCACATGATTTAAGTGGATTGTCAACATAGTCGAGATAAAGTGAAGATGGCAGATAAACAGATCAGGTAACATAAGCAAAATGGAAAAAACAGCGAAGTTAAGCACCATCCGTTTAAGCAACATTTGTAATTCATTAGTTTATACAGGCAGACATTAAATGAGGTGAGAAAATAAGCATTAAGACAGGATAGCAAGTCCATCACCTGAAATAAAGAGACTTAGCACGCAAACACAACGTTAGTAAATCGAATGCAGCGCCGGTTCTGCTAACGCTGCACGGTTCTGTCAAAGTTCTCTGCAGGACCCGTCGTCGTTTCGATGCTGGTCCCCAGTGGCCTCACTCGTAGCTCATTAGACTTGCCAGGCACTCCCATATGCTACAGCACCACGCCCTCGACGTAGATGGAGTACGCCCCATCGACGCTTGCCGCTTCACCACCTAAGGTTTCTTTTCCGCATGCATGAGGACTTCCTCTTACAACTCAGCAACTGCCTTCGTGATCAGACCGCGCCATGCCCGCAGATCAATCGCCTTCCATTCCCAACACTTGTAACCAATATTAGAAAGTGATAAGCTCACTTTGATCATGTGTTGGTAAGTTAACTTCGGTTTTCCCATGTACTGCTTCCCTGCACTCAGTTGGCCAGTCAGCAGCTGTTTCGGTAGCCGCGTCGGATCCATACGCCGCACATGACCGAGCCACCTCAGGTGTCTCAG